GTGAAGACATTAAAACTTTGAATAGAAAAGATGTGAAGCTAATCGCAGCTGTCAGTAATCTTTCCACAGCCCTGAGACTTTACTTCCTGTAGAGCCGACTGAAGGCTGCTGCAGTGAAGGAAACAGGTGCGTTTCATTTACGACACAAGAAAAAACATCAGAGCTGTGCTGTGAAAAATGGAGCGTTTGATCACAGTTGTCTGGTTTTAATAATCAGACCTGATTGATCTCTCAGCCTCACCTTGCTGTGGCCTCTGTCTGACTCTACCGGGCTCAGAAATTTCTTCCACTTTGTTCTGGGGACAAACGCCTCGTGTTAGCCCTCACTCTGCTTTGCTTGTTTTCCAGCTCTGAGCTCCGAGCTGGTGGCCCACCTCCTGGTACGAGACCAGCTGAGGACGAAGCAGGACGCCATGCTGCTGGACGTCCAGGACCTGACCTAACGCCAGAACGGCACGGCGGACGCCTCGCACAGTCTCTGCCCAGTGCTCCTTCTTTCAGCCTCTCTGGGACCAGGCCGACTGCTCGGGTGTGTCAGCCCCTCAGCTGTTTACTGCTGGTTCATCTAAACTGACCAATCAGCACCATCCAGAGAAACGACGACGACATGATCCTGGAGGACTCACGTCGGTATTCACAGAAAGGAATAACGTTCATAACAGATTCATCAGGACGGCCAATCAGCTGCTGGCTTGTGACAGTTTAAAGTCTCGGTCGTTGTTCTGACTCCTGACAATCGAGCTTGTTATGTTTCTGTTGTTAGAGCAGCTCGTTCATCTCACAGCAGCTCCGTATGTGACGCCCAAGTTCATCCTCAGCCTCAAACAATCATTGGAGCTCATGTTCCTTTAAGGCCCGCCTCTCTATAAGCACACTCTCTTCTGATTGGTCATCTATTAAGTCCCTTGTCACCTGTTTTTCAGCAGGTGACATGTTCATGCAGCATTTTCTCAGCATGTTTCCAGGATCACTAAATCGTTCTGCTCCAAAACTGCACGACAGGGGTCTTCATCTGCACCACAGATTTACAGGCTCGACCTCTGAAAATGAAACTGACATTTTGGGAAAGGTTAGTATATTTTGCTGTGACGTTTGGAGAAAGCTGGAGCTTTTCAAATCTTTTTTGATACCTGTGCTCCTCTAAATGCTCATGTTAAGCCACCGTGGTAGCACGGTGTTATTATCCTCACTCTGTCCTACAAGAGGATTTTTGTGGAGACTTTATGTTCCTCAGAGGATCCATCGTCTTCGTCAAACAGCCTGTTTTTGCCTTGAGACACAGGTCGTAAAGCTACAGGATGAAATTTGGGAGACATAATCATGGTCAGCAGACCAAAAACGGACTTTGATGAACTCACGAGTCAAACGTTTGTGGTGAGCAACCCCCTGGAAACCTGCGGTTGCTATCAGTACATGTATATTCCCACCAACTGGTGATGGGTTGCTGGTTATCACTGGGTGAAAATGGGTTGCAAAGGGAGCGCTCCACCCAAAAACCTCCCTGTGATTGATCAGGTTGCCACGTTTGCGTTGAAGACAACAACATGTCTGCAAACATTCACACTGAGCCGAGTGGTCGGGAAAGGCAAACAGGAAACTCCTTCAAAGTAAAAGTTGTGCCTTACTACTGAAAACAACACATTTCAAAAGGTGCAACTTTTACTGTGGAGGTTTCAGGTTTGTGTTGCACTTTCCTGTTTGCTTCACCACCCGGCTTGTTGGTCGAGGGTTTACAGGAAGAGAAGTCACATGACAGCTGGGAGCGACAGCCTGCCGAACCAACCACAAAGAGGCTTCCTCTGAGCTCATCTACCAACCTGCAGCAACCTCACAGTTGGTTAAAACACAGTTTTCTGTAGCACCTGGTGGTTGGTAGGTGGTTGCCAACCGGTCTCTAGGCCTGTCCAACTTTGGACAACGAATGTTACTCAGTTAATTTAGAAGATGCGTTTTGATAAAACGGTGTTACTTCACAGCGTGCTGAAAGCTCAGTGACTCATCGGTTTAAACATCCTCATCGAAGTCAAATTGGTCAACTTTCTGACTCCTAACATTACATTCAGATTTGGGAGTTTGATGATCAAATTTCATCTAAAAATCTCATTTTCACATTTTTTCTCCAACGCTTCTCTGAGTTGTGGCGAGACTAATTAAACATAATCAACAAAAGGGATCTAACTTATCTTATTTAAGTTTTATTGTGTTACTTACTGAACTACTTTTACCTGTTACTATAAAAAGGGAACAGTACACAGATATAAGCATGTGGAGTTAAAGAGCTTAAATGATATCTTGATTATTGGACATTATACTTTTGTTTTGTTTTTTAATTAAAGGGGAATTTCACCCAAACTTGATGTGTCATCATCACATTAAAGCAAAAACTGAAACAACTTCAGACTAACAAAGTGAAATTCCTCTTTAACTGATGCTAAACTCTTCAGGTACCGTCTGTGATCGTCGTTATCGTTGTTTGCTTTAAATGTAAGGGAAGAATCCACTGAATATAACCAACTATGTGCCATGATCGCTGCCTTACTTTACTTTTCTTCTTAAAACTAAATGTTTTGCATCTCATCCATCATGTGCTTTAAATAACTCCCTGAATCTGTTTCCATGAGCACAGTAGTCATTGATACAGTAGTCGAGGATATTTAGCGTTGTGCTCTCGCGCCTGTGATATGAAGCTGAATGTCATTTACATTGAAAGTGATGTACTGTAAAGGGAAATGTGCTTTAAAGTGTTTAAAGTCACACTGAAATGTTTTGAGGTTGTGGAAGGTTGTGACACTGATACAAGGCTGTTAATCATCCGTGACGTTAAGAATATTTGGAGAAGTGTTTTAAAATGTAAATAAAATTAACTACAAATATATTTGTATATGTAAACATTAATTCTGAAATATATTTTTAAAAGCAAAACTTAATGATGTCATATTACTGTGCTTTGGAATTGCTGTAGTTCTTCATATATGTGCATTTCTATGCAGATGATACCCAGGTTTATCTGCAAAGACACAAAATCACTTCTTTTATTAATTTTAATGCCTAAGAGCAGGAGCGGGGACCTCCAGGCCTCGAGGGCCGGTGTCCTGCAGGTTTTAGATCTCACCCAACAACACACCTGAATCACATGATTAGTTTTTTTTTTACATTTTTATATTTTTAATTTACATTTAAACTCTATATTAGGTATATTGTGCATTTTGCTATTTATCGTACTGTTTATTTTAATCTCTGTGTGCAGCGCTTTGTGACTACCTGTCTATGAAAAGCGCTTAATAAATAAACTTTACTTACTTACTTAGTTCATTAACAGGCCTCTGGAGAACTGCAAGACATGTTGAGTTCATTACCAGCCATTGAAATCGGCTGTGATGGATCAAGGACACATCTAAATGGGGCGACCGTGGCTCAGGGTGGTGGGAAGCGTATCTGTAACCGGAAGGTCACCGGTTTGATCCCCGGGCTCTCTGTCCTGGTCGTTGTGTCCTTGGGCAAGACACTTTACCCTACCGCCTACTGGTGATGGCCAGAGGGGCTGATGGCGCGATATGGCAGCCTCGCTTCTGTCAGTCTGCCCCAGGGCAGCTGTGGCTACAACTGTAGCTGCCTCCACCCGTGTGTGAATGGGAGAGTGAATGAATAGTGGTATTGTAAAGCGCTTTGGGTGCCTTGAAAAGCGCTATATAAATCCAATCCATTATTATTAAAACCTGAGGACCGGCCTGGAGTTCCACCCCTGTTTTAGACACATAAACACCTGCAGGATAAATTTGGTTTTTTAACTTCAGGCTATTGTATGCAGCCCTAAACATCTTGGTTCTTGGTTCTTATCACTCCTATTATTCATAGAGTTTATAGTTAGGTTGGATCAGGTAATGTAAAAAGAAAACAACATTATTATGATTATTATTTTTGTTCTGGGATTTGCAGGTCGTAATAATCCTGGCTCCACTTCTTCCCAAAAAACGAATCAAAGACTTGGTGGTGATGGGAGCAGACAGCTTGTGTTGTCAGATCCTGGATCAGTGCATCGGTTGTTCGATGTGGAGCTGCTGTTTCGAGCTCCAGCCCACACATCTTCAGTCTGAGATGACTATATTAGAAGTATTTCCTTACTATGACATCACAGAGATCTGGGAGAAGAAAAAACTGAGATAAACTGTCACACACTGAGCTCAGTGTTAGAAACTTCGGCCGTGTTTAACAGGAGGAGGGGATGTGACAGGAATGAGGAGACCTCTGTTTGAACACTGATCCCGTGTTTGATCACACAGCTGATAGTGTTCGGTCTGCCGCTCAGCTCTCTGTTTATTTAGTATTTACTGTATGAATCAGAGCTGATGGTGGTGATGATGGAGGGAAGAGAGCGGACGGGTTGGAGGAGGAGGGGCTGATCCATTCACTTTTCTCTCTAATTAAAGCCTCAGATAACTGGAGGCAGAGCGAGGAGCTGAAAGCTTCAGGATCTCCTCCGGAGGAGAAGGTGAGTGATCCTATCTGCTTCCACACGAGAAGCTTTTTAAAGTCCACTCTGATCAAATTATTTTAATTCCTTTGAGCGTGTAGACTCTGAGGATTTATGAACCTTTGACTTTCTGGCTGCTTGTAGAAGGCGAGGAGCTTTGAAATGTGTGGCTGATTTTATCTCGGGTCGTGTGGAGGACAGTTCATCACAATTACAGGAGAGTTGGTGTCGAGCTAATTTGTATATCTAGCATCCAAATGCTTCATTCAATCAGCAATAAAAAGTAAAGACATTAAAACATCCTAATAAATTCAACAAATATTGGGTGGCATCAACATTTAAACTTGAGACATTAAAATATTTTATGTCTACTCTGAATTATTCGGCTGCTCGTGTAAAATCATTGGCGCTGTGAGCACCTCCTCCTCCTCTTCCTCCTCGCCCGCTGCAGTCCCTGTATTGGGTTTCATTCCTGCAGTTGTGGCTGAATGAACGCTGATCAATTATTTACAGAGAAGCTGAAGGTCAGGAGAGAGACCCAGAGAGACCCTTTGGGCCTGAAACAGAGACTTCTTAACCACAAGTCTATCAAAAAAAGCCGGAGGTGGAAGCTCAAAGGATGACAGGGATGAGGAGGAGGGTGGCTGAAGGTGGGAGCTCTGATCCACTGATGCTCGGTAGATGAAGTACTAGAAACAGAATCAATTTCAGGCCAGACTCGCTTCAAATCTTTCAAACGCACCCTTAAATTTCCGTGGACCAGGAATGTCTTCATGGAAATCAGGCACCAGCTGACAGCTGCTGTCAGTTAATACCATCACAGGTGAGTCCACAAACATACAGACTGGATTTAATCCTCTGTGATGGTGTGTTTGCTCACTTAGTAATGAATGATTGCTATAAC